AGGGGCGCCTGGGTGGCTCAGTCGTTAAGCGTCTGCCTTCGGCTCAGGTCGATCCCAAGGTCCTGGGATCGAGCCCCGCATTGGGCTCCCTGCTTGGCGGGAAGCCTGCTTCTCCCTCTCCCACTCCCCCTGCTTGTGTTCTTTCTCTCACTGTGTCTCTCTCTGTCAAATAAATAAATAAAATCTTAAAAAAAAAAAAAAAATGAAGTGCATTAAAGCCCAAGGAGGGGGGAACGGCAGGCCCAGTAGGGCCAGGAGGGTTGAAGTTAGCCAGTGGGCAGTTGGCTCCAGTGGCAATTCTTACATGAGAGAGTGAAATGATAACTTGGTGAATGTGGCAGGAACATTTAGGTGACTTGGTGGAAGGGGAGTTTAGGAACAAGAAGATCACTTTATTTTATTTATTTATTTTTTAAAGATTTTATTTATTTATTTGACAGAGCGCGCGAGAGAGGGAACACAAGCAGGGGCAGTGGGAGAGGGAGAAGAAGGCTTCCTGCTGAGCAGAGAGCCCGATGCGGGGCTTGATCCTAGGACCCTGAGATCATGACCTGAGCTGAGGACAGACACTTAACAACTGAGCCACCCAGGTGCCCCAAGGAGATCACTTTAGCAACCTGTTTCAAAAGCCCAGATATGGGGCAAGGAAGCTCCAGCTCGGGGAGAGCAAATGGGAATAGACAGGAGAGGGTTGGAATCTGAGACAGAAGATGTGGGACATGGAGAGGAGACCCTGGGAACACTCCTGTAAGGTGTACCTCAAAAAAAATGTTTGGTCATATATGTTTGGGATCTGAAATCTACCCTGTCTCAAGACTCAAGGTGAAAAGAAAAAAAAAAAAGACTCAAGGTGAATATTAGCATATTAGGGACTCCACAAATTCCTGCAGGAAACCTTTTTACTCGATTCATTCAGCCATTAATGTGTTGAACACCTTCTGTGATCATCTGGGAACACACTCAGGAAAGCGAGGCTCCGAGTTGTTTTTTTTTTAAGATTTTATTTATTTATTTGACAGAGACACAGTGAGAGAGGGACCACAAGCAGGGGGAGTGGGAGAGGGAGAAGCAGACTTTCCGCTGAGCAGGGAGCCCGATGTGGGGCTGGGTCCCAGGACCCTGGGATCATGACCTGAGCCGAAGGCAGTTGCTTAACTGACCGAGCCACCCAGGTGCCCCGCGAGGCTCCAAGTTTTGAGCGTGGTAAGGAGTTAAATGGTGAACAAGGTAGAAGACCCAGAAGTTTCTTTGTTGGAGCCTTCATGCATCTCCTAGCTAGAGACTTCTCTGAAAGTAAGGAGAAACTATTGAAAAGTTGGTGAAGGGGAAGGAACTTGATACACCTTGAGCTAGGCTTGCTTTCATATACTTTCTTATTTAATACAAGAGCCCACTGAGAGCCTTTGTCCTTTGAAGCTGCATTTTAGGTCCAGACCCCAGGGAGTCCGCTGGCCTTTCCTCTTCTCACCCAACTACCACCACCCATTTTGGTTCTTGGGTCCTCACCATAAGACAGCAAGCACAACATTGGAGTCAGACAAACCTGAGTATGAATCCTAGTTCTGTCATTTGTGAGATAAGTGATCACAGGCAAGTCACCATTTTAAATCACCAAACTTCAGTTTTTTAAGCCTATAAAATGGAAATAATTTATAGCTTCATAGGTTTATTGTGGAAATTAAATGAGATACACATAAAAGCATCTTGCATTGAGTGTGGCATGGAATTTTTCAATAAATGGTAGTTACTGTTACAGTAAAATACAATTTGGTTGCAGAGTGAAGTTTTGTGTCCTCTGATCCCCTTCTTTGCCAGCTCTGGAGACAAACACACCACCTCTTTTTAAGGGTCTGCCACCAATGTTTACAAAGAAAGAGATAGGGTAGCAAAATAAACATGGCGAACATGTCAGTAAACATTTCTTGAGCACCTGTCATGTGCCAGGCACTCTTGGGTCCTGGTGATGTAGTCCTAACAGGATAGAGAAGGCCCTTGCTGTCATTCTAGTGTGGAAAACACATGTCTGGTTGTACCAAGGGCTGTAATTAAAGCAGGTGGAGTAAGAGCTGGTGCCTGGAAGAAACTAAAGATTGGGTGGTCAGAAAAGGCCGCTAAGGTACTAACACTTGGGACCCAAATAATAAGGAGCAAACCAAGTGTAGATCCAGGGGAAGAACATTACAGACGGCTGAAACAGTGTGTGCAAAGGCCCTCAGGTGAGAAGGAGTTTTGTGTGTTTAGGTAGTAGGGAGCAGGTGTGTGTGTTAAAAGAGGTGGGGATGAGGTCAGCAGTGTTCTGAGGGCTTTGCAGGGAGAGGAAGTAACTTAGACTGTATTTAAGTGCTTTGGGAGCCATTGGAGGGTTTAAATAGTGGAAGGAATGTTTTATGTTAAGAAAATATCAGTATAGTTCTGTGTACAGAGAAGTTTAAAAAAAACAAAAACAACTTTTTGTAAGATTTCTTGAGTGTTTGGAGTTGACCTAAAGTCATGATTCTCTTCTAGAGATGGCCCTTAGCAGCCTCCTGGACATCTGCCTTCCAATTTTATTCCTGAGAAACTCACCCCATTTCCCTTCTTCCCCTTCACAACAAGGTGGAAGTAATCTACCCCTTCCTTCAAGATGGTCTTTCCTCAGGTCCTGGCCTGACAAACCTGTGAAAGCAAAATCGTAGGACTGGAAACACCTTTAGAGCTGCTATCCTTGCCTTGGATGAAGGAGTGGCTAATAAGGCCTGGCCAAAAATGACTTAAAGCTCGGTGGGCAAGTTTAGTTTTGTTTGGCACATTCATTTTTTTTTCAGTTGATTCATTGTGCTTTAATTTTTTAAAATTTTTTATTCAGTTATTATTCAGTTATTTTACACACACATGTATATTTGAAATACTTTAGGTGGCTCATGCATTCCAGTTCAATACAGGCCTTACTACTTCTTACTGCTTTACATTTGGCCCCAGTTCATACATTTGTTACCTGTCTGAGCGTCTGTATGCCTTGGAGTATTTAAGGATTAATGATTACCAAGCGTGCAAGCGTTAAATAGAAAGCATTTCAACTGTTAAAAAAAAAAAGAGAGAGAGAGAGAGTCCAAGATGGTGGAGGAGTAGGAGACCTGAGTTTCGTCTGGTCCTAGGAATTCAGCTAGATAGCTATCAAATGATTCTGAACACCTGCAAACTCAACTGAAGATCTAAGAAAAGAGTAGCTGCAACTCTACAGATAGAAAAGCGACCACCTTCTGCAAGTTAGGAGGTGCGGAGAAGTGAATCCGAAGTGATATATCAGAAGATAAACCGCAAGGGGTGGGAGCCTCTGTAAGCCGGCCCGGGAAAGTGAGCAGCAGAGCACAGAATCAGAACTTTGAGAAGTCTGCTCCAGTGAGGGATGTCCCTGCCTGAAAGGTGCTCAGGTGGCAAGGCGAGTGGAATCCTAGGTGGGACAGTGTGGTCTCAGGATCTGAGAGGTCACAGGAAGACCAGGAGTGCCTGAGTATGGCAGAACTCCCAGACATCGGAGCGGGGAAGCTGGCTGCAATCAGCAAGCTCAGGAGTGGACTCTCAGCCCAGGGTTGCCATATACCATGAACCACAGTATGGTTGGGTGACCGCTCTCTGAGCAGGGGCCCAGCAAGCGGCAGAACCTCAGCGAGACCCTCCCCCCTCCCCTGGGGAGGAGGGGTGCAGGTGCGCACTGCAGGAGTCTGCAGGGTTTGGAGACTCAAAACGGGTTGTGTACCTGAGACAGAAATGTCTGGTCACAGACTGGGTGAGCATGCACTGCAGACAGAAACCAGGGAGACAGGAGTGATTGACTGCTTTTCCCTGAGGGCTCACTGAGGAATGAGGCCCTGAGCTCTCAGCTCGGGCTGAAGATTGGGAGGCCACCAGTTTCATTCTCATCCTCTAAAGCCACGTGGAAAGCCTTCAGGGAATAAAAGAGCAGTCCAGAGCCGCTTACTTAGCCTGGCCCCAGGCAAGGGTGGTGCAGTTCCACCCAGGGTAGACACCTGAGAATCAGTGCAACTGGCCCCACTCCAAGAAAATCAGCAAGAACATCTGCCTAAGACCAAGTTTACTGATCACACAGAACTGCAAAACTCCAGTGCTGGGGAAAATATAGAATTCATGGGTTTTTCTCATGATTCTTTAGTCTTTCAATTTTAATTTTTTTTCCCTTTCCTTTTTCAACCAATTTCTTATTTTATCAACTCTTTTATAAAATCTTTTTTAATTTTCATTTTTACAGTTACATTCTATCCTTTCATTGTATTTAATTTTATTTTTGTTTATATATGTTTTTCGTTCTTTACAATTTTCGGATACAGTTTCTTCTAACAAACAGACCAAATTGCACCCAGAATCTAGTGTATGGCTCTGTTCTCTTCACCTATCTGATCATGTTCTTTTTTTTCTTTTTTTTCTTTTTTTTTCTTTTGCTTAGGCTTTTTAAATTTTGATCTTTACACTTGCATTCTATCTTTTCAATGTATTTAATTATATATATTTCTTTTTTTTTTTCTTTACAATTTTGAGATGTAGTTTTTCCAACAAACTGACCAAAATATACTCAGGACATCGTATATTGCTCTGTTCTGTTAACCTGTCTGTTTATATTCCTTTTTTTTTTCTTTTTTGTCTTTTAATTTTCATTTTTATGGTTATATTCTATTCTTTCATTTAACTTTGCTTTTGTACGTATTGTACATGTTTTTTTTCTTTACAATTTTGGGATCTAGTTTTCTAACAAACAAACCAAAATACACACAGGATCCTGTGTATTGCTCTGTTCAGTTCACCTGTCTGATTATATTTTCTCTTTTCTTTATTTTATTTTTATTTTTTTGGTTTTTAGTCTCTTCTGATTTGTTTAGTGTATATTTCTCTGCTGTCATTGTTGCCATTTTAGTATTTTGTTCTCTCATTCATCTTTTCTTATCTGGACAGAATGACAAAGACAGAAAAACTCATCTCAAAAAAGAGAGCAAGAGGCAGTACCGACTGCCAGGGACCTAATCAGTTTGGATATAAGTAAGATGTGGGAACTAGAGTTAGAATAACGATTGTAAAGATACTAGCTGGGCTTGAAAAAAGCATAGAAGACAGTACAGAACCCCTTTCTGGAGAAATAAAAGAACTAAAATCTAGTCAAGTCAAAATCAAAAAGGCTATTAATGAGATGCAATCAAATATGGAGGCTCTAACTCTTAGGATAAATAAGGCAGAAGAGAGAATTAGTGATATAGAAGACAAATGATAGAGAATAAAGAAGCTGAGAAAAACATAACTACTGGATCACGAGGGTAGAATTCGAGAGATAAGTGATACCATAAAGTGAAACAATATTAGAATAATATATAATATTATTAGAATAATATAATAATATAATCCCAGAAGAAGAGGAAAGGGGGGAGCAGAAAGTATATTGGAGCAAATTATACTGGAGAACTTCCCTAATCTGGGGAAGGAAATAGGCATTCAAGTCCAGGAGGCACAGAGAACCCCCCCGCCCCCGCAAAATCAATAATAGGTCAACACCCTGACATATAATAGTGAAACTTGCAAATCTCAGAGACAAAGAGAAAATCCTGAAAGCTCAGAACAAGAGGTCTGTAACCTACAAGAGTAGAAACATAGGCTGGCAGCAGACCTATCCTCAGAGACCTGGCAGGCCTGAAAGGACTGGCATGATATATTCAGGGTGCTAAATATGCAGCCAAGAATACTTACTCCATTCATTCAAAATAGAATGGCTATCATTCAAATAGAAGGAGAGAGAAAAAGCTTTCAGGACAAACAGAAACTAAAAGAATTTGTGATCACTAAACCAGCCCTCCAAGAAATTAATTAAAGGGGATCCCTTAAGTGAAGAGAGAGCCCAAAGGTAACATAGACCAGAAAGGAACAGAGGCAATATACAGAAACAGTGACTTTACGGGTAATACAACTGCACAAAATTCATCTTTCAGTAGTTACTCTGAATATAAATGGGCTAAATGCTCCAATCAAAAGACAAAGGATATCAGATTGGATAAAAAAGCAAGACTCATCAATATGCTTTCTTAAATAAGAGACTTATTTTAGACCCACACACCTCCAGATTGAAAGTGAGGGGTTTATCATGCTAATGGACATCAAAAGAAAGCTGGGGTAGCAATCCTTTTATCAGACAAATTAGATTTTAAACCAGAGACTGTAATAAGAGATGAGGAAGGACACTATATCATACTTAAAGGGTCTATCCAACAAGAAGATCTAACAATTGTAAATATTTATGCCCCTAACATGGGAGCTGCCAATTATATAAACCAATTAATAACAAAATTAAAGAAACACATTGATAATAATACAATAATAGTCAGGGACTTTAACACTCCACTCACTGTAACAGAGAGATCATCTAAGCAGAAGATCAACAAGGAAACAAGGGTTTTGAATGACACACTGGACCATATGGACTTCACAGGTATATTCAGAGCATTCCATCCTAAAACAACAGAATACACATTCTTCAGGAGTGTACATGGAACATTCTCCAGAGCAGATCACATACTGGGTCACAAATCAGGTCTCAGCTGGTACCAAAAGATTGGGATCATTCCCTGCATATTTTTGGACCACAATGCTTTGAAACTCAAACACAAGAGGAAATTTGGAAAGAACTCAAATACATAAAGGCTAAAGAGCATCGTACTAAAGAATGAATGGGTCAACCAGGAAATTAAAGAAGAATTTTAAAAACTCACGGAAATAAATGAAAATGAAAATACAACTGTTGAAAACCTTTGGGATGCAGCAAAGGCAGTCCTAAGAGGGAGATATACAGCAACACAAGCCTTTCTCAAGAAACAAACGCAACCTAACCTTACACCTAAAGTAGTTGGAGAAAGAACAGTAAATAAAGCCTAAACCCAGCAGGATAAGGGAATAAACATTAGAGCAGAAATCAATGAAATAGAAACCAAAAGAAAGTAGAACAGATCAACAAAACTAGGAGCTTGTTCTTTGAAATAATAAGATTGATAACCCCCTGGCCAGACTTATCAAAAAGAGAAAGGACCCAAATAAATAAAACCATGAATGAAAAAGGAGAGATCACAACCAACACCGAAGGAATACAAACAATTATCAGAACATATTGTGAGCAACTATATGCCAACAAATTAGGCAATCTGGAAGAAATGGATGCATTCCTGGAGATGTATAAAGTATCAAAACTGAACCAGGATGAAGTAGAAAACCTGAACAGACCCATAACCAGCAAGGAAATTGAAGCACTAGTCAAAAATCTCCCAACAAACAAGAGCCCAGGGGCCAGATGGCTTCCCAGGGGAGTTCTACCAAACATTTAAAGAATTAATACCTATTCTTCTGAAGCTGTTTCAGAAAATCGAAATGGAAGGAAAACTTCCAAACTCTTTCTATGAGGCCAGCATTACCTTGATCCCAAAACCAGATGAGGACCCCACCAAAAAGGAGAATTACCAATATCCCTGATGAACATGGATGCAAAAATTCTCACCAAAATACTAGCCAATAGGATCCAACAGTAAATTAAAAGGATTATTCACCACGACCAGGTGGGATTTATTCCTGGGCTGCAAGGTTGGTTCAGCATCCACAAATCAATCAGTGTGATACACAACATAAATAAAAGAAAGAACAAGAACCATATGATCCTCTCAATAGATGCAGAAAAAGCATTTGACAAAGCACAGCATCCTTTCTTGATTCAAACTCTTCACAGTGTAGGGATAGAGGGTAAATACCTCAATATCATAAAAGTCATCTATGAAAAACCCACAACGAATATCATCCTCAGTGGGGAAAAACAGAGCTTTTCCCCTAAGGTCAGGAACACGGCAGGGATGTCCACTATCACCACTGCTCTTCAACATAGTGGTAGAAGTCCCAGCCTCAGCAGTCAGACAACAAAAGGCATCCAAATCGACAGAGAAGTCAAACTCTCACTCTTTGCAGATGACATGATACTCTTGTGTGGAAAACCCAAAAGACTCAACCCCAAAATTGCTAGAACTCATAGAGGAATTAAGCAAAGTGGCAGGATATAAAATCAGTGCACAGAAATCAGTTGCATTTCTATACACCAACAATGAGACAGAAGAAAGAAATTAAGGAGTTGATCCCATTTACAATTGCATCCAAAACCATAAGATACCTAGGAATAAACCTAACAAAATAGGCAAAGGAGCTGTATTCAGAAAACTATAAACACTCATGAAAGAAATTAAGGAAGACACAAAAGAAATGGAAAAACGTTCCATGCTCATGGATTGGAAGACAAATATTGTTAAAATGGCTATGCTATCTAGAGCCATCTATACATTCAATGCAATCCCTATCAAAATACCATCCACTTTTTTCACAGAGCTGGAACAAATAATCCTAAAATTTGTATGGAACCAGAAAAGACCTACATAGCCAAAGGAATGTTGAAAAAGAAAACCAAAGCTGGTGGCTTCACAATGCCAGACTTCAAGCTCTATAACAAAGCTGTAATCATCAAGACAGTATGGTACTGGCACAGAAAAAGACACATAGATCAATGGAACAGAATAGAGAGCCCAGAAATGGACCCTCAACTCTATGGTCAACTAATCTTTGACAAAGCAGGAAAGAATATCCAGTGGAACAAAGACAGCCTCTTCAACAAATGGTGTTGGGAAAATTGGACAGCCACATGCAGAAGAATGAGACTGGACCATTTCCTCATGTCCCACACAAAAATAGACTCAGACTGGATGAAAGACCTAAATGTGAGACAGGAGTCCCTCAAAATGCTAGAGGAGAACACAGGCAGCAAACCCTGTGACCTCGGCCACAGCAACTTCTTGCTAGACACGTCTTCAAAGGCAAGGAAAACAAAGGCAGAAATGACTATTGGGACTTCTTCAAGGTAAAAAGCTTTTTGCACAGCAAAGGAAACAGTCGACAAAACCAAAAGGCAACCAACAGAATGGGAGAAGATAATTGCAAATGTCTTATCGGATAAAGGGCTAGTATCCAAAATCTATAAAGAACTTATCAAACTTGGGCGCCTGGGTGGCTCAGTTGGTTAAGCG